ATCTACAAGTACTACTTCGTCTACAAGTAGCACATCTACAACTTCTACGTATGTTACAGAGGTGAACAATGACTTTACTTCATGATATTATGAAATATTTTCAATTTTAGGACGTCTACAAGTACGAGGGAACCTTCCATAAAGGGCGTGGGTGGACAAAGAAGTGTTTGACCCCTTCACCCCTATTTATGCCTATGTGTTATATCGATTCCCTTCCGCTGATTAGACTTACAACCAAACAACATTTTCATCTTCTGTATAGAAGAATTATATATCGAATAAGATTTATTCATTCAAAATATTTGTAAGTCTCTCCAGTATTCGCCGTACCGGTGGAATATTCGTGTATTAGTTTCCGAAAAATTTTGTTGCAGTTGATTCTTGGTCTTAGATTGATTTGAAGTGAACTATTTCGTTTGATTCGAATTGAGCAATTCTCTGCAGAGCATCTTCAGCGAGGACATTTCTGCTGAATTAAAAAATATATTCTTACACGCTCGGAGTTAATCTGTTTTGAGAAAAACACAAATGAAAAGAATATTTGCAGTTACAGCATTTATTAACTAAGTACAAGTAAAACACATATCACCGACAGAAAAGTTCATTAAGAGTTGTGGAAAAGTATTTCTTCGTACTCAGCACAATCGTTAATCCAGAAGACTTTGCAATTTTGGCGCGGGGTGCTTCCAAAAATTGTACAAAACTTTTAAAACTGATATTATAAATCGAATCAGAGCGATGGGACTTATTTCATTTTAATTACACATAAGTAATTAAAGTGGATTTTAAAATAATTTTTACATCAATCGACAGAAAAATGTTTTTCTAGGATAAAAAATGACCGAGTTAGTATCAAAACAATACGAAATTTTCAAAGATTGATCCGATTTTCCCCAGCTGACTCTATATCTTCATGTTGCCAATGTACTGTAGAGTCAGTTATTTTTACATTGCAAAGAGCAAAGTCTGAACAAAAAAGACTTTTGCGATTGACATTCAGGGAGAAACAAGTTTGAAACCAAACATCACCTTAAAACAGGTAATTAGACTAAATTTATAATGTTCGGATAGTGAACGAATTTTCGCGTTTTTCTACAGCACATGTTCCTGAATAGCATGTAATTCACTGCTGAAAAAAAACCGTACGCTGCAACAGCTTTTCTAGCGACGTTTCGTATCGAACTTGTTTCCTCCTCAAAGTCAATCGCAAAAATTTTGTTTTCTATGTTTTCTTGAAGTTGTGACTTTGATATGTCCAACGGGAAAATAACTAATTCTTTCGCACATTGGCAACATGTAGAAGTATTGTTTGACATTTAATGCAAGACTTTTGCACCACCCGTTATTGTAATAAAAAACGATTAGTTTTAGTTGAATAAACATGTCGTCGATCGTCGGTATGCTGAATTTGATTGGAAGTAATCTCAGTATTTATGTTGGTAGTATCATCTGCCTTTGTGGAAATATCGGCTCTCTTTTGAATGTTTTTCTATTCATACGAAAACCATCCATTCAGCTCAACGCCAACGTCTATTTACCTATTATTAGGAGCCATCACTGATTTTGTTCTAATGAATGCTGCATTAGTACCAAGAATCTTCAGTGATGATTTCAGGCTTCAGTCGGTCTTTGCTGATGGCCTATGATGCAGATTTCGAGAATTTCTAGCATCAGCGCTCACAGTGTGTGCTTTGGACCTCGCCACATTCGCATCGCTCGATCGATATTTGACTACCTGCAGTCAAGTAATGCGACGTTAGTTTATCAAGCTGTCGATAAGTCGATGAATAAGTGCCACTGTCATGCTCTTGTCACTCGTCGTTTGTCTGCCGCTATTAACAAATACAAGGTTGATTCTCGTTCACAATATGTTCACATGTCCGTACAGTTCGGTGATTGTATCCAACTATTCTGCCTATTTTATAATACTCACATGTTCAACTATTTTGCTTGTCTCCTCCAAGCGATATTTAGTTTGATGACAATCAGCAATCTTAAAAATATCCAGCGTCGAACTGCTCCGTCTAGTTCGATGAATACTAGAAAAACTCTGCTTCAAAAAATTGATGATCAATTAACATCAATGTTCTTGATTCAAGTGATAGTTGCGGTTATTTCAACTGTACCATGTAGTGTTCAGAACTTGTATTCCGTGTATGTATTATCATCTTTTTCTTTCATTTTAAAAGTTTTATTTAATTATTTTAGAACCACGAAGAACAATGTGAAAGGTCCCGTCCAAGTTGCCGCTGAAAATTTGATTCTTAAAGTGATACGACTACTGTTCTACATCAATTACTCAAGCAGCTTCTATATCTACTACATATCATCATCACTAGTTCGTAAAACAATTAGAAAATTTATCTTAAGAAATGTGTTTAGACATCATAATATGGTATCCAAAAGCCAAACTTAGCAACGTATAGTTTAAAATTGAAATAGAAAACAACAGACCGATGATTTTGATTTTTTGTCCGGTAGTCAATACTGGCAATTACGAAGCGCTCGCTTCATGGTTTGACCCTCCTCGCTTTCGAGCCATGAGAGCTTGGAAGTCCTGCACATGTCTGTTCGACTGCTCAAAGTTTTTCCCCAGGGCTCGCTGCCTATCTGAAACTCGAGAGCTCGAAGCCGATAGCCTTGCAACTTTTAGCGTGTTTTCAGAGAATTCGAAAAAGAAGAAATCGGAGTTTCTTCACAAGAACTTCCTGTTTTTTCCTGAAAAAATCCGTGTTTCTCCACAACAACTTTATCTTTTTTCCTCAAAAACTTACTGTTTCTTCGATATCTCGAGAAGAAGAGTATATTTTTTGAAAAAACGAAAAAAAAAACAAACGTGAAATAGGATGTAAAGTATCTGTGATAGAATTTTCACACCATTTTTTCGTGGTGTCGTATGCAATCAAATAGCGCATATACAGCAGCTTTTTTTCCACGATGGCGGAACTGTTATGAGTAAACGTCTTTAGTCAATATTTATTGTGAAACAATCGAGCAGTTTTTCTGAACTGGACATTACATTAGTTGCTACTGTGTTTTCGACATTCAGGTAAGACTGTTCATATAGACGCTGATAGATTTGTAGAAAGTAATGATAATTCTAGACGTCTCTGGTAGCATGGATTACACAGAACAGTTTCCTCGAACAGTACTTTTTGTTGTGAGCCTGCTCCTTTCTTTAAAATGACTTTCAACAGATTCCTGACTTTGAGTGTTGCATTTTCTGCTAATTTTCTTAGAACGGGAAGTGACTGTGATTCAAATTCTCATTTTACTCTTTTCTCTGAAGGAAGATACTGAAAATTTATATTTCTTTTCAAAGATGATAACTGCATTTCCCTTTCAGAAAATATGGTCTAGAGTAACGTAATGTTTAACAGGAGTTAATATCGATTGCAAAATATGAGTTTTTCCAAGTTGAAAGGTACGTTGCTTTTTTTTTCCTTTAAAATGTCCAATTTGATTCTTATTCTCTATTAGTTCAAATACCACTACATGCTGATATGTTCAAGTGCTCTAAATGTTCATTCGAAAGCGCTTCTCTTAGAAAATTACGAGACCATTCTGGACGAACAAATCATCGATTCTCCTCGACCAATTTAATATACCCTGCGTGCCCCAGAACATGTGGTAATGAATCAAATCTCAGACGTCATTTTCAAAGAAAGAATGCATAGAAATTCTACGATCGTATTATTAACAAATGCAGCTGATAAAGATGATGGAGGAACTATAGCTACTGATGATGTCGGCGGGTTCAAGGGTGTATTTGATGGGATTGCTGATGATGAAGACGAAGATCCAAAACAAAATTTCAGAAATGATTTATGTCCAGTTACTACTGTCCCGGATGATCCTGAAAAGCAATTGTATCTCTCTGTGACGAAATGGATCTTAAACATGAAGAACAGCTCTGCCTCAGAATCTGATATTGACATGTTCGTTAAAGATTCCTTAAATGTGATGGCAAATCTATCAGCTTTGAAGGTGAACATCTTTCGCTCCCTAGGACAAAATTGATATTTTTTTTTGTTGTAGAGAAATCATTTACCAATACTTAAGTCAAGCACACATTCTACTTATTCGGGACAGAAATTTCTAGAAGAAGCTATTACTGTTATTAAACCAAAAGGGGTTGTCTTAGGAAAGAAGGTAAAAGTGAATCACAATCCTTGTGAAGTTTATGAATCGATGCGTCTAAGCCTTTTTCATATTTATTTAAATATCTAATATGCCCAAACTATCGAATTCTTACTATCTGATCATCGCAGGACATAAACGTGTTCTCAGACATTCTTTCTCCTTTGTTTGTGATTTAATCTGTTTACATTTCAGCAAATAATGAAATTCAGCAGAAGTAAAGGTCACAATGTGCCGGAATGGAAACGTACCTATTATGTAGTCTTTACTGAAAGCTTGAAACAATTATTATCCATGCCTGAATTAGTTGATATATTGAATAAACAACCAACAATAGCACAATCTACTACTGCTCAAAGTTTAAAACAATTAAAAACTGATTATCATGATAGTGAATCCTGTCATAACCATTCGCTCTTCAGCGCACATCAGTCAATTAAAATAATCTTATATTATGATGAAATAGGGATCAATAATCCCCTTGGAACAAGAAAACGAAGTATGGGAATGTTTTATTATACGCTGGCAAATAATTCTCGATATTTGCGTTCTCAAGACAGATGTATTCACTTGTTAGCATGCGCCGATAAATGTGATATTGTAGAATTTGGGTTGGGCGATTTATTACGTGATTTTATTGATTCTGTTAATAATTTACAACGAGATGGAAACGATATTAATGTGAAACATCCTCAAAATAATAATAGTTCCTATTTCACAACAATACCAACAACAATGAATTTAAAAGGCTCTCTTCTTGTTATTGTTGGCGATCTGTTAGCATTAGCCGGAATACACGGCTTCAAATGTAGTTTTAGGCACGCTTTGCTTCCATGTTTTTTATGCAACACAACAAAGGATAAATTTAATACAATTTCCAATATTAATGAATGTAACCATCGTACAATGGATGAATATTTGGATGAATGATCAATTAGACAATTGCGTTACTCAAGAAGAATTTAAAAAATTATCCAAAAAATTTGGAATCAATCATAGATCAGTCTTCACATCTATTAATGGATGTAACATTTTTCAACAAACTGCATTAGACAGCATGCACATATATTTAGAAGTTAGGTCTAAACAAAGCATTTTCTTCTCTATTCTCCTTATATCTTTAGGTAAATGCCATTTAAAATTATTTTTTATTAACTTAAGTATTGGTAGTATTTAGAAGGGAAATTATTCTTGGACGAAGATATGCACAGCAATTGGTGAATATCATTATCAACCTATTGATGAAGCACCTAATCCGAAATTCAACTGGAATAAAGATAAGCAAATCCCATTATCATCAGCTCAGATGTTGTCAGTAATTAAAAATATATCTTTTATTATTAAAAATGTACTTATTAAATCTCCAAATATGAATGCCGAGTGGGCATGTGTGTTAAAATTAAGAGCTTTAGTATGTGTGTCATTCTCAACGGAAATCGATCGAACAACAGTCTTTAAGATATTGTCCAATTAGATCATGATGTTCTAATTCTATGATGCTCTATATGGTGCACAACAACGTTTACCAAAACATCATTTCGCGTTACATTTTTGTACACAGTTAAGCTCACTAGGTCCGTTATGATTTTCGAATTGTCTTTCATTCGAGAAGAAACATTCATTCTTTAAGACACACACTTATCGGAATTTCAAAAATCTACCAAAATCACTGAGTATTCGCCACCAAAATTGGATTGCGAAAAAAATGTTAACGCTGGAAAACATGGCATCGGAGAATTATTTATATGTTGGTCATATATTAGGTGAGTTAAACATGGTGAATACATTAGATGTACCACCAAATGATATATTTGACGTAAATTTACCTGTTTATGTAGTACCTCAATGAATAATTGTTTATGGCATCAAATATGCACCTAATATGGTAATGATGACAAATAAAAATCGTTATTCTCGATTTCCAACATTTGTAAAAGTTACAAATATCTACGTACAACAGCATAATATCATTTTCCGTGGCCGACAATATTGTGTAATGGATAAAGATGTGGGATTAGCAGCGTTAGAAATAGCTCCAGCAGCAAATGAAATTTTCTTTAATTTGTATGATATAAGCTACATCTTTCCTTTACACGAACATTCCTGTGATGGTAAAAAATATGTATCGCTATTTCCTTATGGTCGTGTTTAACTTTTCTGACAAATAATAAAGGTATTTAGAAGTGAAAGTGCCTTTCTTTTTTCTTAAAGTGCTACTAAGTTCGTTATGCTGCTCTTACTAATGTCTGAATTGCATGTTTACTTGCTTGCTTAATTCTCCACAACTGGAAGTAATCTAATTAGGCGTACGCCGAAAATTTTCTCGTTCCTTTCTTTTAAAAATAACATATATCGTTTGAATATAGTTGAATTTACGGTAAACACGACATCGCCTCAGTACGTCACTTAACTACTGATCTTCATTTGCCTCACTATATGGTATGATGTTTACTATCCAAGCTATACTGAAACAACTGTCTTACTTGCATTTCATCAATCTGGCCAGCATTCATAGATATAGATTAATACACAATCTGCTTTTGCAAAGGTTTCTATATTATAGTACCTTTAAAAAATAATACTATTATCTGATAGGTTACTTTTCATTATACTTTTAGATAAAAATATGAAATGCAGCTAATTGTAAATGGAACTGTTGTCATCAATGGTTTAGTTGAACGTTATGAAGGTAAATGTGACGATTTAGAAGAATTAAAAGTAAACTTATGCATTGAATATGGTTTAAACGGTGGTCATGAGCGAGTTCTTCAATATTTCGATAATTATGTTAATCAATACTGCACGTTACAAAAATTGGGAGCACCACCACACAAGTTACCATTTGAAAAACCATCAAAAATACTAGAAGTAAGATATTTACCGCTGTTCACCGTCTTTTAACAGTACTTCTGCTTGCAATAGAAACTATTATCGGCGCCAAAATATAAGGCATTCGTCTGTTTTTCCGAATGAAAAAATTCCAGAAAAGAATTCCAAAGAAGAAAGAGACTTGCAGTTATCGACAATCAAAAGAAAACAGTTTTGCCTACGTTTTAATAAGCAAAGCTCTTTTGCGAAACCATTTGGATGATTGATTTCTAGGAGATCTCTGAAAAACCAGTTCGGATCTCCGGAAACTGAGATAACAATCTATCAGTTTTTCCATAGATAAATAGTCCAAAGTGTCCTCACCAAAATGAGAACTAAGCGAACTCTTAATTTTTCCTGGTTCAGGCGTAGCATCGGATTTACTTAGAGTCTGAGGATCAATATTTCTTCAGGTTGGGTAATTCCGAAAACGAATATATATGTAATCGACCACGCTGAATCTCGTGACAACATTTCAAATAAGTTTCAAAAATCTGTGAAAACCTATATTAGGTGAGATAACCCGTTTTTGCCTATTTTTTAGTAAAATCAAAAAAATTCATAAACCAGTCACGATCCATTCAGATTATGTCAGAATATCAAGATGTACTCTATTTTACCTGCTCGATACGATTATTTACTTCAGACTAGCAAGAAACATTCTTGCGCTTCAAAAGATTTCCAGAGAATTTTTTCAAAAACCAAAGTATTTTCTGTTGATTTTGAAAGCTTTTATTGGTCTGCGTAGTTACTTTATACTATCGAGCAGGTGAAATAGAGTACAGTTTGATATTCTGACATAATCTGGTAAATCCGATGCTACGCCTGAACCAGGAAAAATTAAGAATTCGCTTAGTTCTCATTTTGGTGAGGACACTTTCGACTATTTATCTATGGAAAAACTGATAGATTGTTACTTAATTGTTACTTAATACTAACTTTAAAATTAACTACAATATACCAACTTGCAGAGAAATATTTTCTCTACAAAACTACCGTTTTAAAAAGATGTTGCAACTCCTTTTTACGAAAATACAAATCATTTATTGTGAATTTTTGAAAAATACGAAAAAAAACGATGCACTCCTACTTATAAGTGGACATCTCTCTGACACTCTTCAAGGGTCATTTATCGATTGTCGCTCTATTTCGTTCTATTTTATATACAGATATTTTTAGGCTGGTAGGACGTATTCTTTTTTGTTCAGGTCAAAGCTGAACTTGAGTTAAGAACGAAACAAACAATTTCAAAAACAACAGATTATTTAGCAAAATTCATTGAAAAACTAAAAGTGCTCTATCAAGATGTTGACTGTGCAGAAGTAAACATCTACACGTTAGCTTCTGCATCAGACATGCGTCCATCTTTCATTCTAGGAACATTATGAGCTGTATTTAATTGAAAGTTTAACTAAGAGTCGAAAAAATATTCAGTCAATATTTCTTAAACTTGAAGTAAGTTTAGTTCAAATATGTCCCACGTTTCTTTTCCTAGCTCCATTATGAACACAATTCTTTTACATCATTATAAAGCTCTATCTTTTTCCTTCACTTCTATTATAACACATACGAACAACGAAGAAATTTAAAGAATCGAATGTCAAAGAGAAAGTTGAAAAAGGAATAATTCGTCTTCTTCCATAGTCTGCATTTTTAGCAACTTATTTATCATCTTGAAATGAACTTTTTCTGTTGAAACTACTCTGGTTTGCAAACCATTTTTTAAAGAATTTAAACAACTTCACAATGGACAATAAACAATCAGAAAAGAACTTGATTCTGCTGTCGTAAAAGTTAAAATACTTAGATGAGCTGTATCTAAAACTGACTTCCTTCTAAGCATTAGTCATTCTTTGATAGACTTTTTTCTTTTAACTTCGCAGATTTAAACGCCATTGGACAGAAAATTTGAGAAACTTTAAAGCGAGATAACTGGTCGTTGAAAGATAAAAGCTTCGTCTTGACCTATGGAAACGAAGACCGACAAAATGGTTTTTGCTACAAATTTAAAGTATACCAGAGTGCCATTTTCAGGTATTTTATGGAAGAAAATCTATCTGCTGTTGCGCACTCGTTGCAGATATGTTCTGGGCAAGCTCTCCTGTCAAGTTTTCTTATCAAAAAGATTTCTTAAACTCCTAGTTTCCTGTCGCAATAGTTGAGTGAAAAAGTTCGTCTATTAGGATAGTATACCGTCACATCTGGAAACGCAGAAAAGTATTTGTTTAGGACTACAAGAACTTTAAACGAAAGATCAGTTAAAATACCATCTTTGAACACATATCCGATACTGCATATACTCACAAAATTTTCTGGCTCAGCTTATACTCACTGTCTTTCCAGATTGCCGACAGTTCAACAAATACATTCGATAATGCGTTTAACAAATTATGTGCAAAATTAGCAGATACATTTTTAATCGTATATTTAGAAAAAGATGGGCAACGAAGTTATTATTTAGTTTATTGTAATATAATTAAATTTGATCTAACAAATTTAACAAAACCGGAGATGTTGTCAATCTATTTAGCGTCTTATTATGCATTTGACTTAACATGGTTAACAAAACAAAAGCCTATCTGATGTGGTTGATTGCATTTAATCAACAATCAAAATTTAAATCAACGTATGGTATCACCGCCAAACAGACGATATTAGATATTAATGGTTCTCAAGAAAACAAAAAAGAATTAACATAATTATTTCTCATGTAGCTAATTCTCATGTTTATTTTGCAGGAAAGTTAAACAATACAATTTGTATTGTTGTGCAACATTTATTGTGCAACTTTTGTGCATTTTGTATTATACAAAATAAATGTTGTACCAGCAGCTGCGTGTCTTTTTCTCGCATGTCACACTTTCGAGCTCTAACTGACAACAAGCTTTCACGAAGTAAAGAAATAAAGCTAACAGATTGAAGATAAAAAAAGGATTTCTTTTTTCATACATCCTGACAAGATGATATTCACTTCATTTTAACTATTTATTAACTGTCATTATGCTTTTTTATATACAGAATGTTCACAAGCAGAGGCGAAACTCTGAGTACAATTGGCTGCTTAAAGATAATTTGATAAAATTATGGTGAAGCTCAAATAAAGGCAGTCTAAGTCGCATTAAGGTGTCTTTTCAAAAGTTACCACAATGTGCCTTCAAATAAGTCACTTTAATACAGCTAAATGGGATCCGACTTACGTGTCTTTAATGCGACTGGAGCAAAGACGCTATAAAGTGACTACCAAGTAAAGTCGCATCATGTGTCTTCACAGGAGACACTAAAATGCGGTTTTTTGGGATCCGACTTATGTGTCTTCCTAGAAGTTGCATTTTTTTTTAGAGTGTACTCACAACTGTTCTAAAAACCTCAAAAAACTTTCTACCTATAAATCCAAATTTTCATTGACCTTGGCTCAAAACCGGCCATGTTGTTCGAGAATGACTTGCCTGATTTTCGTCAAATTGCTTAGGTTTCTGTAAAAACGCAATATCTCAGGAACGAAAGTGAGTTAAACCCATCGTTAACTTTTATCAGCGCGACTTGGCGAATCTAACCATGTCAAGAGCTCTATCTTTTCTTAAAAAGGACTTGAAAGTTTTGACGCGAAAAGTTGAGGTTTTTGAGGTATTGTTTTGAACCTCATTTTTCGTACCTTCAGTTCAACGATGGATGATTAAGAAACACTTCTTCTGAATCCGTTTTTTTCGTAGTTTAAGAAAAAAACTTTCAAAGGTATAGCACCTTTTGTATAGACATTGTAGGTTCTTTTCTCTGAAAAAGCCGCTTTTTCGACTTTTTGAACATAAAAATGCATTTTTTCTCAACAAAGCATACATATTCCGATTCACCGTGAAAAACTGCATCTATCCATGTAAAAAAATTGAACAAGTGAGAAGCGCTGAAGTTTTGAATTTCCGGAATCTAAATAAATGAAAGGTTCGCTGCAATATTATAGCGTGGTTTTCTTTCAGATAACTGATTAAGTACGAATTCCGATAATGAAGTGAAGATATTCAAGTATCATTGCCATCGTCTATTATTGTTAAGTAATACACACTCTCGATGCTATTAAAATAAACAATGTCTTAATCAGTCAACGGTAAAATCCATTTTACAGTACTAATTTAATAATCATTTTCTCTGGTTACGTGGTTAAATACAGTCTTTGTCCTTTTCCTTTTAATAGATCCGCTTTTTATTATCAAACTATTATTATTTACTTATTTTCTAGTCTCAAACGTTGTCAGTGTTATGCATTCGAGTCGCCAAGACGAGCAACTTTCTGATAAAAAAAATTAATAGAGAGAATGTGCAAGCCTAGAAGAAATCAATCAGAATCACATTTGTCATATTCTAGAGTCTGAATTTTAATACTGATCGAAACGAATTGAATTATATGTCATCATTATCATTTGACGCGAGTGGTAAGTAATCAGCATCTCATTTACTGGCTCATTGCTTTCAGTGAATTATCTCGCCACCAGAGATGGGCACCGGGACTAAAAACATTTTCTGGTCCCGGTAAAAGATTCGCGTGCCATTCCATTAACTTTAGTGGTAAACTAATATTTGATCACGCATTTTGTACAGAAATGTTTGCTCTTTCAGCCTATATATTTTAAAGTGTATCAAAGGCCTTTGTTATCAATTAATTTAGCAATATAATGACCAGGACCAAATTGGTCCCGGTTGGTCCCAGCAATGTGGTCCCGGTGATTGTATTTGCTAAATTAATTGATAACGAACGCCTGTGATGTACTTTAAAATATATAGACTGAAAAAGCAAATATTTGTGTACAAAATGCGTGATCAAATATTAGTTTACCACTAAAGTTAATGGAATGGCACGCGAATCTTTTACCGGAACCAGAAAACTTTTTTGGTCCCGGTGCCCATCTCTACTCGCCACGGTATGTGTGGCATACAGGATAAAATATAGAAAAGATATCATTTCGAATGTAAAGCGTAGGTAGAGAACAAGGTTCAAAGCCATCTGAACGGAAAAACCGGGAGAAACAATCATAAGCTGAGTAACGTCAAACCGATTGTAGCCGGTCACCGCATTCAAATGCAAAACTACTTGTTTTGCTCTTTTTGATTTCATCAAAATTTACTTATAATTTGTTGTTGTACAGAAACTGAGGAGAAAAAGTCACACGACACATATCTCCTCTGAGCCGCCTTTTTTTTATTTGCGTTTTTTACTTTTATTTTTGTTTTTTATGTTTTTTCTTTTTTATGCGTTTTTTTATTTTTGATATCAAAAGTTTTTAGCACTGTTTTAGCAACATTTTTGGGAAGGTTTTCTTCGGAATACTTTTCATTTCCCAGCATGATACACACGGAAAAAAATTTTGTAACGCGATTTTGATCGCACCTAAGTGTATCTTGTGAACTATGAGGGCGTCTGAAACTCGGGTTTCCAGCTGGTGTACCTAATCAATCTCAGAAAGAGTAGGTTAACGCTGTATTCATTCCCATAGCGCTATCTGTGTCTAATACCTGCAGTTGATAGTTGGGGTAGGTATCCCTGTATAAATTTACGTAACTAAATAATGTCTGACTTGGAACATCAGTTAGTAATACCATGGCACCACCAAGAAGCAAAAATTTGTTCAGAGGGTACAACAAACACTTCTAGCTGATAGAGCGCAGGCGGAAAATCGTTTCCATATATTCTGAAGATTTTCAGACCACTTAGTTATCTGCTAATACGTGTCCTGAAAAAGTCTTTCACCCTCCTAAACGGTGATAGATAGAGGGGTAGGGCTTTCTTAACTGCATAGCGGACACTGTTACGTTTTCAAATAAAAGCTTGAATACTTTTCTATCACTTTATTGTTCATGGACTAGTAATCCGAATAACTACATAAAAACACAGTAAAAACTACAACTATTTATACATAACATTTACAGATATTTGAACATTCGAGAAACAGAGGGAATAACTGGCCATGACGTAGGAGGAATAGAAAAGAACATGACATCAGGAAGGACAAAGAATAGTTCTATATATGGATGATGTGGAGCTGAAAGGAGTAACCGAAAAAATTCAAAGTGACAAAAGACGAAGGTTGACATTGACTGATGTACCATCAAAAGTGGAAGCGCTACAAAAACCTGTCAAAGGCTTTACCGTGATCAAACTTCCTCGAGCTGACACTGCGAAACTGCACAATGTTTCTGTTACAAGTGGCACTGTAGTAACAGAAAAGTCAAAAGGCGAAGAAAAAAACTAATCTGTATTATGTAGCTCTATTTTAATACTAGTAAATGCAATGTTGTTGAAGTAATTTACTTGTTCTTGTTTTATGCTTTTCAAACTCTTTTACTTGTTTTGAATACTTTGAAAATTAAATATGGTTTTGATGTAGTAAAAAGAATGTCATTTTGCTCAGTCTGTTGATTATAACACAATTTTTTGCGAAGAATAGATGTTCGCCGGTAAGTCATTTAATTTAACTTTGAGAGAGCGCATATTTTAAAATCTCCATGAAAGACAACTTTATAACATCTCACTACTAGGAGTGTTACTTTAGTTTTATTGTTCACTTATACTAATGAATAAGTTCTGAACTAAATGAATCATTTAGATTTATTTTCTGAAGTTACACTAAATCAACACCCCTACTAAAGGCCGATTTTGAGAGCACAATACGCCACATTTTTCTACAATAAAACGTCGGAAAGCAGGAGAGACATCAGTTAGAAGAAGAGTCACTTCATAGTCAGTTAATCTTCATGCGCGTTTGAATGGTATATTTAAAGAAAATATTGTCGATTTCTGAATCTGCAGAACTTTGATTTCTTAAACTTGAAACGAACATGGAAATCATATTATCATAATTACAAATATTTGATCAAAAGCAACCAAGTTACCAGTACAATCCAGATCAACCACACAAAGATTAGAACAAGAGGAACATGAACAACTTCTTGAACAATTACAATAATTTCATGATATTGAACAAACAAACAGTTTAACCTAGGGGTGGCACTTTCCCGTTCCTTCCGTTCCTTTCCTGAGTAACGTTAAAGCGGTATCTTTTATTTCAAAAGTAAAGAGTAAAGATATAATGTATATCTTTTTCTTTCCTAAGAAAAAGGAAAGTGGCACCTTTTCTTTTCCGAAAGAAATAAAAGCAATATCTTTTCAAAAGTTTACAAAAAGAAAAGATATTGCTTTTATTTCTTTCGGAAAAGAAAAGGTGCCACTTTCCTTTTTCTTAGGAAAGAAAAGATATGCATTATATCTTTACTCTTTTTTGTTGTAAAGAAAAAGAAAAACTTTTCTTTTGTTAATAAAAAAAGAAGGTAGGAAAGCGAAAGTGCCACCCTTAGTTTAACCTTACCATACAACAATTATACTATAGATAACCAACGACTTAGAAAATGGATTAGTTAAAGCTGATTTTTAGAAGTATTAAAATACTTTCTGGGACAGTGAATCTTAATGGTGAAGAATGGTTAAGATGTATTAATCATAAATGTAAAGTATATACATGGAATGATGAACAGCCCCAACGATGGATTATCTTATTGTTGACGAACCTCATTGTTCTATTGTAAAGTACCTGTTAGAGGTGGGGGATGGACTATTTTTAGCTTTCTTGTGAGGATCGCCTAGTAAAGTTCTTACCTCGTCATCGCGAAGTACCTCGTAAAGTTTCGAAAAGTCTTGTGTAATATCGATACCATAATTACAGCACGAAAAAGCAGATATATCGAATGAGAGCGAGAGAAGGAAATAATATTGTTATTCACATTCTTGCTTATAGCGGGTGACCCAGAATAAATGGCGGTCGCAGTATTTTTCGTTTATCTCTTTCAATTTTTATTGTCGAGACTTGCGCTTCTTCTTAAAAGATTTGTCGTTTCATTCTCTACAAAGAATATATTGAATACTGTTTTATATACCGTATAAATAAAAGAATCTAGGTGAAAACTGCGACGCTTCAATTTCCATTACTTTCAAACCCAAAACACAACCAAAAGATATTTATTTCGAACATAATGTTCTGCATCGAAATAGAATTAAAATGTATTGTTCTGTTGCCTCGAAGTGTCGTCTTTTTTTATGTATCAGAGGTTGGCCTTTCTGGTACAGAAGGCAGTTTTAGTAGTCTATCAAAAAAAGGAAAATTTCCACCTTTTCGCCTTATTACTGCAAAACAAATGGAGGTATCGAAGTTCTTCTGTTCCGATGTAATAGAAGAATTATTTTTCTTTAAGATAAGACAAGCCAGACCTCAAAACATTTGATTTTGGCCGATTTATAACAATTTTCATAAATGCTACCAAAACTGAAGTTCGAAAACTGCGATGTTTTGATAAAGTCGATATAAAAAAAGCTTCTCGCTCAATCAATTGCGATTATAAAGAATTTGAGACATAGCCAATTGATAGAGCTATTCAGGGGCTACAAAACAGACATCTTTCCTTATTCTGTATCGTCAAATACAAAGAACTAGAATTGAAAAACTATTTTCTGGGTTTGAGAGAAATGGAAATTGAGGCGTCGAAGTATTTTACCTAGATTCTTTTATTTTTACGGTATATGAAACAGTATTCAATATGTTCTTTGTAGAGAATGAAACGACAAATCTTTTAAGAAGAAGCGCAAGCCTCGACAACAAAAATTGAAAGAGATAAACGAAAAATACTGCGACCCCCATTTATTTTGGGTTACTCGTTAATTATAACGCATGATTTAGTGACGAAAAAAAAAGAGAAATAATGAAAGGAGAAAACCATCCTTTGGAGAAAAGATAGTGTGGCATGGCCTCTGCGATCCGTTACTTGCTTGTGTTGAATGAATATTCTCGTTTGTGATCACTCACTTTCCTTTTATTTTCAAATTCGTCTTACGCATACTTAACGCTAAGATGTTAATAATAAAAAATTGATGATGACCAACACGACGTAAACAATTAAGCAAAGAGAAGTAGGTCAAAGGACGGAATGAGAGAAAGGAAATAAAATAACTACTGCCGGTAGCAGCGGCCGTTCTTTGAATAACTGTTCAACGAAAGTAGATGAAGATTGGCGGTTTTCGCTATTCGATAGCCAAGACTTAAGAGCATGTTTCGATAAGCAGAAAATATTTAGAATTTTTTTCAAAAACTGATTTTGAAGGTGATCTCTGGAAAACCGCTTCACAACTGGAAAATTCGACATAGCAATATATAGATTTTTTTTATAAACAGATAGACAAAGGTGTCCTCTGCAAAAAAGAACCTAAGCGAGAGCTTCAAATTCTCATGATTACGCAGCGGATGAGGTTTTCCTGCGAGCCCTATGACTGCTCTTCATTTCTGTCAACGAATTTCAGCAATGCATGCAAACAGAAGTTTCCACTATACTGAATCTTGTGGTAGCTCTTAAAAACGATTTTAAAATCTACAGAAAACTAAGTTTTTCAAAAATTAGGGTTTTCTGCCTGGTTTCACCTATTATTAAAAAATTCATAATTCACTCAAAAAACGTCGGGACGAGGTCAAAACTCCATGATACAGTTAATTCTGTCCGCTAGACGTAATTACAAAATCGAAATAATTAAAAAATGATGTTTTTGTTCTGAGGCTTTCTAGAAACCCTTTGGGAAAACCATAGGGTTTTATGAATTTTTTCTTGTTGATTTGTTTTAAACAGAATATAAAACAGCCTAAATACTGTACATCCTGAAGTTCCGAACTTGTTCGGATGTTTTTTGAGTCACACGCTTTTTTCAAGCTTTCAAAGGATCTTCCTCGCTGAGACTCCCCGTGAAAAATCGCGAAATGTTATTACAACATCACAAACGTGAAACCGTCTTTCAGATTGGGCATCCTTTACAAACGAATTGCTTAAAAAATATCCAGCACCGATGTCGCGAACACGAAATTTAACATAAACAATGAAGTGTGAGGTAGCCTCATACAGACCATCAATACACTGTAAACTTGAAAATAAGTTATAGACAATAACGTGTCTGATCAAACATTGAAATTCAATAAGATATTATTCAATTGTCTAAAGTCCTGCAGAGGTAATTTTCAAAAAATTCAATGGCATGATGTGATTTATTGTTTAGTTTATATTGCAGTTTGGTATTGAAACTACCCAGAATTGGGCCAGCTTTATTTATGTGTTCGGATAGTAACATCTAATCCAATTTTGAGCTTAGCTAACATTGTCACTGTTACAGATAAATTAGTTTGTTTCCTTGGATCTTTTTGACCTCATACTTCATACATTCTGACAAATGAATATTTGTCCTCTCATCATGATCGTTGAAACGGAATGATAACTACCCATATATCTCTGTATCAAATGAGATAGAAAACAATTGACTCGTGCGACAAGGAAAAAATTAACATAAGATTTTTTTTCTGTCTTGCACACATGCGCCTTTTCCGAAGCACACAATTTATCTGGTATAACACAATAAAAAGCTGAAAACCCCAGAAATTTTGTTTCTAGTTTTCTGCATCTTAAGTAAAGCTTAAGCTTTACTAAGCTTTACTTAAGATCAAAATTTTGATCAAAAGGGACTTCAAAATTTGTCGTTTATGACAAACGAAAATGTCTGTGTATTAGGCATGTGTATTGTTAGCTTGCAATTTGTACTATGTACACTAGAGCATTTCAGAAAGCTCAGTTTCAATGTTTTTATCTCTTAAAACGAGTCACGAGTAGTTTTTGTATCGCAACAACGTTTTACACCTTGTTCACTTACAAATGCTACTGTCGGCGAGTTACCATCATGAATTGAAGCTGCTTTTGTTAAATTAGTTAATGCACAGTTCCAATTAGCCATCGTATAATGGGTGAGACCAATATTTTCATATAAGTCGACCAAGGCTATATGGGTTAACGGAAATGATGTAATTTTAATCTTTAATGCTTGTTCAAAACATACTAGAGCTTTTTCATATTTTCTCAATGCCTGATATACAAGTGCTATATTAACAAATGTTTGAGCAATACTGCGATGATTGTAAGGTAAATGTGACAATTTCAGTTTTATATCTAATGATTTGAAATAACTACTTAAAGCTGAATCATACTCTTCATAATTATAAAATATAACAGCTATGTTATTATAACACCATCCAACTCTTTCATCTTCATTTCCGTACGATCTATGTAGAATTTCAAGGGCTCGACCGAAATTTGACAATGCACGATCATAAATAAAAATTTTGCCGTACAGTACACCAATGTGAAGAAAATCAAGCCCAAGTGAAATATGATTGTATGATACACTTCGCAGTTTTCTTTGAAGTTCTTGTTGAGCATTATCCAAATCTTGTTCTGGGTTAATAGTATTCACCAGTTCTTCATATGAACAATTTGGAATTTGTCGCGAATTCGAGTCATCCAACGATATTTCAATCCACGGCAGTTTAAAACACTTTTGACTTTGAACACTCGTTTGTCGTAATAAACGACTAAGTGAAAGTAAAATCTTACTTTTAGCTATAGTATCATTATATGCATAGCTAAATAACTCATTATAATCACTATCGTCTTCATTACAAAGGTCTAGTGATATTAACCAAATCTGACTTAAAGAATCTTGTCTAATATGGACAATCCGAAATATACTACACAACATAAACAAAACTTCTTGCTCATTTTGAAAATAACTTAGTGCACTTATATCAGCAAATGGCTTTGTTTCATGACGTGAATCAACTATTATATCGAATAGTACGGGAACAGAGTCTTCATTTGATGAAACAGCATATGCAAGAGCTATTGCACGATCTTTACTAGTTGAAAGAAATGAATTCATTGACAGAAATTCCCCAATAGAATCTTTAATTAGTTCGATATCTTGTTTTGATAGAGCTTGACCACGGTAGACACGAAAACATGAATTTGCATTCATAACAGAGTTCTGTTGTTGGTGTATTTCTTTCAATTGCTTGAAAATATCTCTTATTAACGAACGAAATGAAAATATTGTATCGGTGTCTTTTATACGCAAGGCTTTGTTGAGTATGCGATAAAGGCACATGTCACGGGTATACCACTTCACGGCTTCAGTTGATGAATATGTATTATTAAACGCTTCAATTTTGTGTTGTTCTATGGCATTTCCTTCATATACTTTTTTACAAAGAGTAACAAGTTCTGTTTTTGCTGCTGTCGGCTCTTGGTTCATCTCTAATATAGTTTCAATAAATAATTGAAACCATAATAATTTTCCGGTTTCATATTGCAAATTCGACAATGATTGTTCTGATCGTTTAAATATATTAATTGATGTTGAATCGTGCGAGATTTCTCGTCTGGATTGATCGCGTTCAATGGTTGTAATGAGCTCTTCTGCTTGTGTTGTAATAGATTTGACCGGTGTAACAGAAGTAAATCTATGAGTATGATGTTTGTTAGACTATTAGCAAAAAATGGGTACACTCACGAGGCTGAAATACCGGTTTACCGCGTGTGAGACATTTGTCAGAACATGTGTATCGGCCTATCCACGGAAGTTTTCTACTGCAAGTATAATTTCGCTACAGTTTTTCCCTACATTACGATGGTCATAATTGTTTAAAGAAAAATAGTAAATACCCGAGCAATATATCGTTGGGAAGAAGAGATGAAGTTCTTTAAAGCAGGATTTAAGCGAATTGTTTAAAAACTTTTGTTGAGGCGAAAAATTAAAAGAAGTTCGATGTCCATTGAGAAAAAAATGAAGTTGAGAGGTAAATAGTTTTCACATTTTGTCATCTCAACAAAAGTTTTTGAAAAACTCGCTGGAATGCAGTTTCAAGGAGCTTCGCCTTTTCTTTTCAATAAAATGTCGTTCGAGTCTCTACTATTTTTCGTTAAGAAGTTATGATCATTTACATTTAATGGAAAATATTGGCGGAACCACATTTTCGATAACAGACTTCGGTGGACAGGCGCTATGATAATTCTTTAAAAACCGTAGCACGAAGTAAATTTTCGCCTTTCAAAAACTATAAATGTTTTTCTGTTCTTCTGACGATCGAAAGTCTCGGGATCGAACTATGTACAGCGGCACATCAAAGACTCCCAACCCAAACGGGCAGTATTTTAGTCGGAATTAGTCTCTTACTTGGCTCAAACATTGATCGTTTTCTCGAAGATTTAGTCTTATCAGGTACGTCTACGCCCCGGTATAATCTTTAAAACCGCTCCTCACTACAGTACCTTGTTAACATAGTTTTTTTAAATTACTTACCGTCTTCCTCTGGCGTACCAGAAAGGTGAGTTAAAGAATATATTCAGCTCTGTACACTAAAAAATAATGTGTCTTATAGTAAGCCACAGAAGCCGAATCAGAAAAAAATATTGTAATGTGTCTTGTCGAAAACACTATATGTGTTTTACGATGGTAGACACTTCAATGTGCTTTCGTGTTTGACATGTTAAAACATCTTTTTCTGATCCGACCTCTGTGTCTTATTTCGAAGATACACCTCAGTGTCTTACTATAATGTGCAAAATAAAAAGGAAATACCGTTTTAGATGAGGTTTGAACTCACTATCTTACTTTGGAAGAGCACACGTTGATCCTTGCACTACAGTCCCTAGATACCAAAGTTAGTCTTATTGTTGTGCTTCTTATTTCAGATTTATGGAGTTAAAAAACTCAAGTTTTAGTTGAGAAACTTTTCGCTGAAATGCTTTTATACGGTTGGCTAAAACCTAGTAAACGTGTGTAGCCTTACATTGACATGATAATATCACTAATAAGTACTGCAACTTCTGAAGACTGGAGTAAGAGTCAGAAATTGAACCTTCCACGCTGACTTTTCCCACTCACACGGGACTGCCTCGTGATTGTAATACAGAAAACATCAATTTTCTTTTTTTACAACAGTTTTGCTTTCAAGGGCCTTACTGCTGAAAGTGTCTACAAAGTGACTTCGATTATTTTTCGTTGTAGACACATTTTTTTGCATGAAACGTTCTAGATATTTGCAATGTGTATAATGAAGTAGACACATCGTATAAGCCGCATTCATTTTTGAGTGTGTAAGCCCTGAAAACCCAGGGTTGGCGAAAACTAACCTTAACTTTATATTCATGAAAACTTATGCTTTGGACATTCATTAAGATTGAATTTACACCTCACCTTCTTGTATTTTTTTGTCCATTTTTCATTATATTGTTTATTCTTACAGTACACATAAATTGTACTTAATTGTGGTAAATTATGAACAATGCGTACTATTTTTCGTCCTAAACTACCGGATACAACAAACACTACTTTTTCATCTTTAATTTGTCGAATATACTCTTTACATGTCTTAAGATTTTGAAATGTTTTAATATAATTAATGGATTCTCTTAATTTCATTTGAACTTGTAAGTTTTCATGGTTGTTAACATTTTCGTCTAACCATACTAATGTAAAACTTTCCAAATTTTGAACATTTTCGTTCAACGACATTGAAGTATTTGTATCATTAGTTATTCTTTTACTTTGTTCTAAATCTATTAACTAGAATATCGTTTCTCCTCAAAGCCAGAAAATTAATTTTTTAGGGTGGCTTTGTAATACATACTAATGCGTTCTTTTTTGAATATAACATTCTATCTGTTTTCATATTTAAAAATTTTGGTTTTATGTTGGTTATATACAACTAAAAAAGAAAAAATCTTCTTATCATCACATCACCTGTGTAAGCGTAATATTAGAGTTATTGCACACGATTGCACACGAAGACTTCGTTTACGCTTACACAGGTGATGTAATGATAAGAAGATTTTTTCTTTTTTAGTTGTATATAACCAACATAAAACCAAAATTTTTAAATATGAAAACAGATAGAATGTTACATTTTTTGGCACATGGTTTATTTTTTAACGTTCAATCTGTGATCTCTTTATTTGGTAAAACAAAGCTAAATTAAATGACTTACCCGCGAACATCTATCCTTCGCAAAAAATTGTGTTATAATCAACAGACTGAGCAAAATGACATTCTTTTTACTACATCAAAACCATATTTAATTTTCAAAGTATTCAAAACAAGTAAAAGAGTTTGAAAAGCATAAAACAAGAACAAGTAAATTACTTCAACAACATTGCATTTACTAGTATTAAAATAGAGCTACATAATACAGATTAGTTTTTTTCTTCGCCTTTTGACTTTTCTGTTACTACAGTGCCACTTGTAACAGAAACATTGTGCAGTTTCGCGGTGTCAGCTCGAGGAAGTTTGATCACAGTAAAGCCTTTGACAGGTTTTTGTAGCGCTTCCACTTTTGATGGTACATCAGTCAATGTCAACCTTCGTCTTTTGTCACTTTGAATTTTTTCGGTTACTCCTGTCAGCCCCACATTTGCAATTCCACTTATTTCTTTCGATCCGTTTCTCTGAGCAACCGAAGATGAATTACTTTTCTTCAATTTAACGACTCTAACAGTTGATGTAGGTCGATATTTATCATCTGTTTCAGTGTTGTTGTCCTCACGAATTGGTTTTAACGGTTTTGTCTGTTCATGTTCATTTGATCCAAATGACACTACATCGCCTTTTGTTAATTTTCCTTTTAACAACTTGGTATCACTAACAGCGGAGATAGGTTTGTCTGATTGTTTCTGAACGGTCTTGGTTGGCTCAACTAAGCTTAGCTCCATTCGATTCGCTGGTTCGGTTAGTTCTATCGTTTCGATAATGCTTGGTCTTGAATCGTTCTTTTTGGCAGATGCTGGATTCTCTTTTAATCGCTTGAGCTTAACTACACTAACCGCGCTACGTGGAGCTTTTTGTAAAGATGTTTCTGGCGTTAAAGGAAGTTCGAAATTTGTTTGGGAAAAGTCCAGATTTATACCCAACTGAGAAAGAATACTATTTCGCCGATGATCATTATTAACTGTTTTCATTCTTGTTGATTGTTCTCTCGACAGTTTATTGACGGTAACCGGGCGATTAGCTGGACGTTCTAATTTTAATATCGGTGAATCGACTTTGTGAGCATTTGGCGGATTCATAGAAGCGTTGCCAAACAGGTCATCACTATATGTACGCTTATATCGTCCAACTTTTGATACACTGATGCCACTTCTTGTTCTTTCGGATACCGACATGTTGTTTGCTGCCAAATCATTTAAATCAACGTTGGAGTTAAGAGTCATCGAAGCGTAGCCGCTATCGGCATTGATTGACTTATTTAAAACACTCTTTTTTGATTTTATTGCTTCTGCTGACAGTAACGAAATATCAGATGAAGTCATTTCATCGTCAAATAATGCTAATGGCGATGTTTCAATCAGCTTTTCGACTAAATCCGATCCAATATAATAGAATTCAAAATCTTTATTGTTTCGTCCTTTCCTAGCACTAAATACAGTTTAACACTGCCATAAATGAAAATTAAAGGAGTAAAACGAAACTTACATGAAACAGCACCGATAACAACAGTAGCAGCAAATGCTTAGAAGGGCTAGTAGTCCAAGCCCAGATAAAATAATTAAAGGTAAATATGGTCGAATTGAAACTGAAAAAACAAACTTCGTGTTTCTAGATGTTCTCAACGGAAAATTATTCAATGCTTAACGCTTCGATCAATGCTTGACGCTTACGCGGTGTAATTGCTGTTGTTGACGTGGTGCTCGTGGTGCTTGTTGCCGTTGTGGATGTCCTAAAGGTGAGAATTTGTTTATCGATATCTGAGTTTCACCGCTTAGTGAATCTACTGGCACTTTTCGTTTCTAATGCAAATTTCAACCTGCTCATTACGATCGTTTTCAAATACCGGTGCCTATTTTCTGAGTATCTCGAGAACGAAAGGTACTAGAGAGTTCGCGTTTTCACTGTTTTGTAGCCAAGTCCTGAGTGTATCTTATGAATTATGAGGGCGTCTGAAACTCGGTTTTTCGGGTGATACACCTAGTCGATCTCCGAAAGAGTAGGTTAACGTTGTTTTCCTTCCATTAATGACATCTATGTCTAATACGTGTAGTGGGGTGTCCGCTATGAAGTTAAGAAAGCCCTACCCCTCTATCTGTCACCGTTTAGGAGGGTGAAAGACTTTTTCAGGACACGTATTAGCAGGTAACTAAGTGGTCTGAAAATCTTCAGAATATATGAAAACGATTTTTCGCCTGCGCTCTATGAGCTAGAAATGTTTGTTGTACCCTCTGAACAAATTTTTGCTTCTTGTTAGTGCCCAGGTATTACTAACTGAAGTTCCAGCTCAGACACTATTTAGCTATGTAAATTTATACAGGGATACCTACCCCAACTATCAGCTGCAGGTATTAGACACAGATATCGCTATGGAAATGAATACAGCGTTAACCTACTCTTTCTGAGATCGCTTAGGTACACCAGCTGAAAAGCCGAGTTTCAGACGCCCTCATAGTTCACAAGATACACTTAGTTTTGCCTACAAAATAGGGAAAATCCGAACTCTCTACCACTCTACTTTCATTCTCGATAGTAGGCTTCACGGGAGGTCCCCCTTTTTATTTCGGAATATTGTACAGTTTGATGGGACACGCCGGAATAACCCCCCTTTATGGAGTCACAAACGTAAAAAAAGTGACCAAAATTGTGTTACAAAATTTTTTTCCGTGTGTATCTTGCTCGAAAATGAAAAGTATTCCGAAAAATACCTTGCCAAACATGCTGCTAAAACGGTGCTAAAAACTTTTGATACCAAAAATGTGCGCAGTGGCCGACTGTGGGGGAGTAATCTTGTTTGATTTTCAGAATATTTTTGCATATGTTTTAAATTTAAATTCTTTCAAAATTTAAACCTGAAAAATCTTTAAATTTAATTCTTTTCAAAATTTTCGCATTAACTCTGAAAAACAGACAACGTTAAAACATAGAGCCGCTCTATTGAGAAATCCATAAGAGAAACCCTGTTTGCCTAAAACCGAGTACGAATTACTGCTTATGGATAACATTTTGAAAAGACAAATACATAGCGCTTAGCAATCTCTGTCGAATGACGTACTGCGGTACCGTTTCCAATCGTTAATTTGCAAAGAAAAGTGTAACGTACCAGAGTGATATTAATTAGTACGATTAATTATAAATTATTGTCTTAAAAAACCTTTTTTTTTAAACGTTTTTCATCATTGGCTATCAAACTATGCAGGAACGACATTTCTACGATTATTTTTAACCGAACTACAAGCTTTGGAAACTGGAAACTAGCTACCCAAATTCTAATTAAAATTTAAAGTTAATAAATGAATAACTCTGGGAATACTTACCAGTTCACTGAAAGAACTTAAGGATATATGTAGTCAGGTGTCCTCTTTAAAGTGACATAGTTCGAGGACACATACAGCATTAGAGCCTCCCCGCCATCAGGCCTACCATCGATATCGAGTCCACTGTTAGTGGAATCGAGTGGACAAACATAGAGCATATTTAAAGTGATAACATAATCAGTGTTTTGTTTTTATAGTACTGCTCACCCCTTCCGTAAAGATACCTACGTGCTAGTGCTAGTCGTACTTGTAGACGTCCTAAAATTGAAAATATTTCATAATATCATGAAGTAAAGTCATTGTTCACCTCTGTAACATACGTAGAAGTTGTAGATGTGCTACTTGTAGACGAAGTAGTACTTGTAGAT